CATATATATATATATAAACCAGTAATTTGGTGTCTGTTTGTAACCAGGGGCGGGGCTTACGCCGAAATCCCTGTTGAAAGCATCCGTCTCTAGGCAGAGGGCTCGAATAAGGTGGGAAATCACAGTATTGATTGGGGGAAGTGGTAAAAGTCGAAATTTCATCGGGTCACATGCTATCGATCGATATCGATTGAAAATATCGGTTTTTGCGCAGAGGGCTCGAATGGTTGGAATCACAGTATTGATTGGGGCTGTGGTAAAAGTCGAAATTCTATCGGGTCACATGCTATCGATCGATATCGATTGAAAATATCGGTTTTTGCGCAGAGGGCTCGAATGAGGTTGGGAATCACAGATTGGTTGCGTGGTAAAAGTCGAAATTCTCATCGGGTCACATGCTATCGATCGATATCGATTGAAAATATCGGTTTTTGCGCAGAGGGCTCGAATGAGGTTGGGAATCACAGTGTTGATTGGGGCCGTGGTAAAAGTCGAAATTCTATCGGGTCACATGCTATCGATCGATATCGATTGAAAATATCGGTTTTTGCGCAGAGGGCTCGAATGAGGTTGGGAATCACAGTATTGATTGGGGACAGTGGTCATAGTCGGAATTCCATCGAGATCGGTTGAGAATGTCGGCTTTGTGCAGAGGGCTCGAATAAGGTCGGAGGGGGGGCAGTGGCCTCCGCAGCTTAGCGAAGTAGTGTCATCTCGAACATTCTAGCTTCTCACGCATGTCAAGTGACTGCCCTCACCCCCGACCCCCCTGGATTGGCCACATTCCCCCTGGCCCGCGAATTTCCTGCTGCCACACGTGCCTCGAGTGCGACTGTCTCCCCCAAGCCACATTGCGCCGTGGTCAAAAACTTCATCGGGTTACATGATGTCGATCGATATCGATAGAAAATGTCGGTTTTTGTGCAGAAGGCTCGAATAAGGTCGGAGGGGGGGGGCAGTGGCCTCCGCAGCTTAGCGAAGTAGTGTCATCTCGAACATTCTAGCTTCTCACGCATGTCAAGTGACTGCCCTCACCCCCGACCCCCCTGGAATTGGCCACATTCCCCCTGGCTCGCGAATTTCCTGCTGCCCCACACTGTGCCTCGAGTGCGACTGTCCCCCCCAAGCCACATTGCGCCGTGGTCAGAATAAAAATTTCATCGGGTTACATGATGTCGATCGATATCGATAGAAAATACCGATTTTTGCGCAGAGAGTTCCAATAAGGTTGAGAGTAGGAGGGTGGGAGAACTTTTAAAGGTCGCCATTCGTTGCGGGACCCGCTGCCGCCACCCACAGCGAATCCCTAAAAATCCTGAGCGTTTGAATTCATTGCCAGCTACAGTTTCCTCAGTGCGGAGCGGGAATCCGTGAGCCAGGGGGAATGTGGCCAATTCAGGGGGGTCGGGG